GGTCCGCTCCCCTCAGCTGCGGGGCAGCTACCGTCCGTCTGCTGGTAAATCACCGCCCCGAGGGGGGAAGGGCAAGAGGGTGAGCCGACTGCCGCGATCCACTCGACGCCAGCAGCTGTGGAGAGCGGGGTGGGCTAAAAAAATGCAAATATATACGTGTAAGAGAATTTATGTGAAGAGGGTGGTTGTGATCTCTTGAGAGCTGGGGGTAGAAAGCCGGCAGCCATTTTGTCTTCCCTCATGCTCATCTTTAATGTTGTGAGCGATAATAAGGACATTTGTCACCACTGCCAAAGGCTAATTGGGGTTGGGCCCCTGTTGTGATATTAAACACAACGACACTTGGACGTGAATCCCTTTTTGCAGGTGATGAAGCCGAGACACATGGAGCTGAACATACCCCGGTAGCCACTCGCTCATGCATGGCACCACAGCAAGTTGTATGAGACACTTTCCAACAGCCAAAGGGAACCCACTGGGCTCCCCACCGTCATTTACTTCAACAAAAGATTTGGTAGCTTGTATATAATACTAATTGAAAGTATTGCCAAAGCCTTAACTCTTGAGGTTTTGGGTTTTTTTTAATCTATTATTAATCCCAAAGTATTCAGTAACACTGTCAAGTGGAAAGAGCATCTGTTGAGCTCCGCTAACTAGTCAGCCACACAGTCTTCATGACATGCAGAGTAGACCTTGCCCGTACGTGCCATCCTTATCAACAAAACACTCACATTTGCTCTGAGGTAGCGAATAGTCATAACTTTCAAATTAATTAATCTAGGTATGGGTTGAGCTGGCTTCCAGAAAAGTTAAGCTGACTTACGGAGAAAGACCTCTGACATGGCTCACCCAGAGATCATACCAAACTTGGCAAGTCTTTCTGCGTATGACACTTCCAACCTTGACTTCTGCCTGCAGTTCCCCCTTCCCTCTTTTTCATGCAAGGGATAAAACTCACGCAATCCTGCAAGGTACTGCCTTGGGCTCTGTCCTGATGAGATCTCATGAACCAGGTTTAAGTAGGCACGATTTGCTGACCAGATGCATCTGGCTATAGGGTCATAAAAAGGGAGAAATTATGATGCTGTCTTCTAATTAATGAGCTCTTGCATGCAGTAGGCAGCATCCAGAATCCCCCGCTACAGTTAGTGTTTTATTGTTTCCTCTGTTACAGGGACAGAGTTGGTCCAAGACTGGATTCTCCAAACAGCTGCAGTCTCATGTACGGAAAAAGAAGGTATATGTGATAACTAAAGACATTACATGTCTTGTGATGAGAAAACTGTAAAATTTTGCTGTAGAACACATCTTGTCACTTTTTTGAAAGGTAAGGTTTACTAAATAACTTTATTTATAGAGCAATATTTAAAATATGGAAAATGTCTATGTTTTGATATAAACTGGCCCTTTAAGGAAACAGGAGACTAATAAAAATGAAAAGTGTTAGGTCTGAAACATGGGTCAGAAAGAAACAAAAGCTCTGTGTATGTAATGCGAATATTTTCATTATTTATGATGACCTTAGTTACAAGGAAGAGGTTGGGGAAAATGTTTCAAATTACAAATAGGAGTCTGTGAGTTACTGCTGTTAGACTACAGAATCCTTCATAGCTGTATTGGTATTCCTATTAGTTATCTGTTTCTGTAATCACACTTGAAGACTTCAAACAGGTTGTAGGAAAACAGGATGAATATGGACAGATAAATAGAGCAACCTTGACTGAAGAGTTTGCAGTCTAGGATGAGGGTAAGAAGTTTCACAGAATCTTTCATAATTGGCTTATCAGTCTGCATCTCATTAATTTAGAATGATAAAAAAATCTGAAAGGTATTTTCAGATTATGAGACTGTTGTCTCATAGCCAAAATAAAACAGATGACATAATTTCTCTCAGATAAACATATATATAATATTGCCACTGCTAGGATTGGGTATTAATTATATTCTGAGGGGTACTGATCAGGCTCCTCTTTATTAGAGAAGATAAAACAAAGAAATATAAGGGATACCTCAGTCTCTGCCACCATTTTTTTTTTTCTTTCAAAATTCATTATTCCAAAAGAGAGTGATGCAGAGAGTAAAGCTAGGGAAAAAATGGAAGTCACACCAAGTATTGGATGTTCCTCTTGGGAATAGTGAGTAAGAGTTCATGGCTCAGTGCTACTTGTTGAACACTTTTCACTAGAATTTGAATTCATTCAAAATTCAAATGTGGCACTAAAAGCTATTCAAATGATAATTCGTTCGGTAATAGTTCTCCATCACTTGGAAAAATGACCGTTTCATGGGTTCTGAATCACCTCCATCTGGTGGAAATGATGCTTACTGCATAGCTGGAAGGGAGGTGCCTCAAGACAAATCCAAAGCAATGCAGGAAATGTTGCTGGTGACTCAGTGGGTCTCAGTCTTCTCTCTTGAGGGCCAAATTGTGATTTTATGCAAGTCCCAAAGGACAGTGAAGCATGTAGTTGCCATGCCCTTTAGAGTACATCAGGAGTTCACTCCAAAATTCACCTGCTGCGTTCTAAACTCTCTTCTTCCCTTTCTCAGAACAGGAAAAAAGTCCTTGTTGGCTTTTTATGAAGTTAATTGTCCTGTTGTGCCTGCTCATTTGCATCTCCTGGTGTACGTGCAGGGCAGGTTTATGGTCCCTGCCAGTTCCTACTTCTGCCTGACTGCATAAGTGTCATCAGAGCCATGGATACTGGTCTTTTCTGTGCTGTGTTGTCCACATAGCCGTGACAGAGAAGTAGGGTGGCACATGACACTGCACAGAATTAATAGTGAAATGAGGCCTTGTCTTAGTGCTGCATTAGGGATCTATATGCTGCTGGTAAAAGAAGTGCCATTTGGATGATGTATAAATCTAAATTTATGACCCCATAACCATTAAAATGCATACTTATTTGCATGAGTATAAGAATATTTTCCACTCTGTCTTGTCCCAATCCAAACTGGGTAATTATGTATCAGCTGATTTAAATCTTGGTGTGTGTGTCTCAATTTAAATCTAATATTTAAATAATATTAAATTAGAATAATTAAATATTCTAATTCACACACTGTCCTAAATCCTATTATGCTAATTCATCTCTATGTATTCATAAGTCTTATAAGTTTCTTCGGAGTGAATTTCTATGTAATTCAAATTTCTTGTTATTGTTTCTTTGTGATGGTTAAAGTTCAGAAACATTCATTTCTGTTACAACCTCACTATACAAGTTGTGAAAGTTAAAGATGACTCTGACCTCGCCATTGAGGTCTCTAAATTAGGAGCACATGTTTAATATTCATCCTCAGTTCCTCGTAGGAGTATTTTGAAAAGAAATCCAAAGCACACTTTAAACTGGAGTAATAAACACTGTTTATTTATCAGATTGTCTGCATCTCATTTCCTGAACTAAACAGCTAAAGTCTGTTTGCACTCCTGACATTGCAAGTCTCACAAGCTGATCCAAGAGAACATCTGTCAGTTTGTTTTCACGACTGGACATAGCAGAAGAAAAGAAGGGGTGGGGGAAGAAATAAGACTTTCACAAACACATCAGTTCAAACAAAGTGAGAACTTTCTCGGCTGTCTTCATAAGCCAGGCAAGCTGTACCTTAGAAATATACTTTCTTTCTCTTTCTCCTGTCCCCTAACAGTAGTTGAAAAGCAGGGGTCATTTTTCTTCTCTGTGTTCTGCTCAAACTGATGCCAATAAATAATTTTAGGAAGTGTTAATGAGTCCAAAAATGTGTTCAAGAAATACGCTCACAGTATACTGAAAGCAAATAAAAAAAATCAAGAGCTTGTTCTCCTCTAACGTGAGACACGGCTACTCTGAACTCATGGCATTTGGTGCAAGAGAAAAAAGGTAGGCTTTTGGCACAGAGACAGGATTATTTGACGGAAATGCCACAGCCTGCTCTGTTCTTCGCTCTGTTTCTAGCCAAAAGAACAGTTTGTGTTGGTATGTTTAAGGGGAGGAAATTCAGACCATTAATAACAGAACTGGCCTAGAAATCATACGCTTTAAATTCTGTCACAGTCTTAACAGGCCTTTTTCTAGCTGTAGAAGGGGGAATTGTTTCTCCAACTTTATCATTAAATATAAGGTTTGCAGTGAAAAGATAAGTGTATATTTGAGCAGGTGTTTGGGAACAAGAAAAAAAGTCTATTTTTTTATTAGAAAATACTGTTTCATAAAAGAGAAAGGTATCCAGA